TGCTAGCCCCCGGTGCCCCCGCCCCTCCTGAGAACCGGGGTGTGCTCCCCAAGCCCCCCCTCCATTGGGGACTCCCTTTTAGGACCCCCTTTCCCTCCCTCCCACGCTCCCCTACCCTTCCCTTCTCCAACCCCTTCTTTCCCCTCTCACCCCTCCCCCCATCCTGGCCACCCCTGCAAAAGTGGGGTGCGGAGGGGGGAGGGGTGAGAACCCACGGAGGAGAGGAACGAAACTCCGATGAAGTCAGAGCCCCCTACCCGCCGCGGCGGCCAGGCCCCCCAACATGGACTGTCTCTGTATAGTGACAACCAAGGTAAGCATGATGGGGGGGGCTCTAAAGGGGGGGAGGGTATGAGTTTGTGGGGAGCGGTTCGGCAGGCCTAATCTGGGGCTGGGGTCCTGGAGTTAGAGCATCAGAAGATTTTGGGGTCCTCCTAATTTAGTTTTGGGGTTCACATTTGAGAAAACGCTGGGTTTGGCCACAGGTGCCCCCTGGAGTCATCCCTTTGTACCTGTAGAGAAATGGAAAATTTGGGGTACACTGGTTTGGGGGTCTGGTAGGTTTTGGGGTTCATCAACCATATTTGAGAGAGACTTATTTAAGGAGAAGCCTGGCTCACATGGGAGTCCTGTTCCTGTCTGTTAGAAGGTGGACTATGTGGGGGGATTCTCTTTCCTCCTGGGGGACAAGCTGGCCTCTGGGTGCCCTGTCTGATTTAAGGGGGCTTTCGGTATGGGTAGAAGGTTATTGGTTGTGAATGCCTGACTGGTCTGGGGGTGTCAGCTGGTGAGAAGGGGTGGGCCTTCGGGCTATAGAAACAGCGTCTTCTGGTAGATACATTTGGGGGTGCTTTCTCAATTAGAGGGAACTGTTAATTTAGGGGAGAGCTGGGAGTTGTCAGAGGGCTGGGGCCTGACACGGATCACCTGAGGGAATGGACCAAGTCAGGTTAGGCTCTGGGTACTCCCATGGGAGACACAGGTTACAGCAGCTGAGGTTGCGGGTTCCTGAGGAGGAGGAGGGGGAGGAGAGGTTTTGGAAGAAAGGGGATTTGAGGAGGGGGGCCGGATGGGTGGTGCAAAATTTGGGGGTGGGCAAGGTGGGTGCCCAATCTCTCCCTCTCCTCCCACACTGTATCTGCTCCTGGTTGAGTAAAAGGGAGATTCGATGGAGGGCAATGTTTCTGTTACCTCTGACACTTGGGCTCAAGGTGCGGGAAAATACCTGGATTTAAGGTGATGGGGGTGAAAAGGAGTAGGAGGAGGGCAGGGCTGGCAGCAGTGAGGATCTGTACAAGGTGTCCCTGTGGTTGGAGTGTGGAAAGGGCAGGAGATGACGATGGGGAGCACAGCAAGCTCCCGGTGGATACGGAACACCTAGGTCTTGGCTGTGAGACTCTGGGACTGGTGTGTGGAGGGAGGCATGGGCTGGTGGCAGGCAGCTGGGGGCTGGGGGGTGGGACAGGAAGTGGGGGCCGGGAAGGCGGGGTCTGGTGAGTCAGAAGCTGGGGAGGGGGTTATATTTAGTGGGAACTGCAGCTTTTCAGGGGAGGGAGCTGAGGACACACATGTTCCCTGTCACAAACTTACACATGTGTGAGCACGGACGGAAGAGATTGGGGGCTGAGGACCTTCATCTCTCCAAGGCTGCTTGCTTGTCCCTCTTACTGAGACCTTTCTCCCCCCGCTGCTGCTTTGCACCCCTCTCCCATCCCCTGTGGTTTCAGGAGATTTTGGGGGCCTCAGTCTCTCTGGCCTGCTCTCTCTAACGTCCTCTGGTCCTCAGCTCCTCCTGTCTCCTGCCCCAGCCTGCTTCTGAGACTTAGGCTCCCAGGCTGTGGTTCCGTGTGCAGGTGTACACAGAAAGCCAGCTGGAATGTGTGGGCTTTGCTTCCAACACGCGTGCACATGTGTGAGCGAGGGTGAGGGGCTCCCTAGCACTGGCAGCTCTTCTGGGAGGGGGCGCTTATCCGTGTTCCTTCCAGACTCCCACTTCTTCCATGGAGCCCAGGGTTGAACTCCCCTGAAGAAAGGAGCCTTGTACAGAGAGGATGATGCATTTGGGCTTTTACAGAGGCGTGGAGACTCAGGCTTGCCACATTCCTTGGCCTGAAAACTTGTCAGTTGCGGGATGGCGGGGACTCCAACTCCCATAAGGCCTTGAGGCACAAGGTCCCTCAGTGTTAGGGGATTGCTGCCATGGGGCTGTTGGGAGTTGTGGTTCCTCTCTATCCAGGGCAGCGGAGGGTAGCCCTGGAGGAACCAGCAGGGGGCACATGGCTCTTGTCCCCCCCAAAATGCTATGTGGGTAGCGGATGCTCAGGTCGTGGAGCTCCCCAGCTCCGTCTGAGAGTACTCCATCTTCCATCACCTATATTTAGACACCTGGTGCAGTAATTTAAGGAACATGGATTGAATATCTACCATGTGCCAGGCCCTGTGCGTTGTGCTAACTCTGCTTTTATAGCTATCACTTATTCTTACTCTGTGCCTCTCTCCGCAGGAGTCTCTCCATCTCTGAGCATCTCTTTCTCCCACTCCGCCCCCGTCCCTCCCCCTTCTCTCCGCACTGCTGCCGCCGTTGCCATGGTAACCGGCGACGACTGAAGTTGCGTGGCGGACTGGAGGGCCGGGCGCGGGTGGCGGAGGGCGGAGCAGAACTGCGGGGGAAGGGGATGGTGGGGAAAGACCAGGGGTATTTGAACCCTCGGAGGCGAAGCGGTTAATCCCTCCGGGTGGTCCTTATTGGGCAAAGCTAAGAGGACGGGGGCGGGGCAGTGTGGCCAGCGGCCTCATTCATTGGCCGACATGGGCGTGGCGAAAGGACAGTACGGGGGAGGCCGGGGAGCAAATGGGCGGGGAGTGGATGGAGGCGTGGTCTCCTGGAGGCAGGTGGGCGAGGTCTGGCTTACTCTCCAGGTTGGCGGGCTACAGCCCTCGGAAAGGGGCGGGGCCTTAGGGCTGGGTAACTGGACTGAATGAGGGCGGAGCTGACCTGGCAGGGGCGTGGCGTGTCCCATGTGCCAAAATGAGACGGGGGTTTGAGGGGCTTGTCTAAGTAACTGCGGGGCGCGAGGGTCTTTGGAAAGGAGAATCCGGGGGTTGGGCCATCTGACGTCTCAATTTTCCTAAGATGGAGGCCTGTTCAGATTTCATTAGAGCACAACCTCCTACCTCAGCTCTATGTTCCAAGGAGACGGTTACTAGGCGACAGCAAAGTCCTTGATAGCTGCGTTGCTAGGCAACCGGGAAACGGAAAATGGAGGGAAAAAGGAAATGGGGGGGTGGGGGTCTTGGGTCATAGCGCCCACTAGTGGAGAACTGTGATTTTTCCATTCTTGAAGAAATTTCGAGTCCAGCCCCTTCGGCACTGGTTTCCTTTGAAGATCCAAGCATCTATCTATCCACATATGAAACTAGGGCATTGGGGGTCATCTTGGGGGCGCATCTAACAGACTCGGGTCCACAGGAAAGAGGAGGCATGGGCGAGATTCTAGGGAAGGCCGTGCTTCATGCCACGTGTGAGCCTTTAGAGAAGCCAGAGGAGCAGATTTGGGGAGACGGCTCACTGGGCTTTGAGTGGGAAAGAAAGGCGGGCGTTCAGTGGGAGAATGTTTGGGAGAGACGCTTTCAGGCCGTTGTTGGGCAGTCGGTTTGGGGTGTTCTGGAAAATTTGTGGGTCACTGCAAATTGGACCTTATCTTACTTTAGTGAATATTTTTCGAGGCTGGTGTCTGGGACAGATTAATACATTTGGGAGCAATCTTCCAACGCAGTTGGAACTCGGAATCATGGAGGGGATGAATAATGTATGAAACTGCGGGGTAAAGAAAAAGAATAGAAAAATGCCTCTTAATTTAAGGGTTTGGGGGTACATTGAAGAGGTTTCCATTTAATTTGGAGCGTCAGCTTTAAGATACACGAAGTATTACCTAAAATTGGGGTCTGGCGGTATTAGGGACTGGTATATTAGAAAAGCCTGAGTATTTTATTAGATTTGGGTATTTGGACAGGGGACGACAAAGGAATTTGAGAACTGCTCATTTGGATGTTTACGTTAGAGCAAGGATAATATTTGCATTAATTTCAAGATTTCTGTCAGTGGATGGAGGGATAGATATGATTTTGAAAGGATGATTTAAGGGGAAGATCAGTTTGAGGGCAGACGAGGATCTGTGGTCCTTAAACTCTTGAAAAGCATCCCCTGGCTCTGAGGCGGGGCTGGACTACTGGTGAGAATAGGAGCTGTCTTTGCGTCCGTCCGCCGGGATGCTGTCCACATGAACAGTCTTTGGGGACGTGGGGGGGCGGGGCTTGTGGGAGACAATGTAGACCCCTTGGGGGTCCTAAGGTGAGATAAATGCTGCTTCCTTCCCTGCACCCTGACAGCCCAGCAGTGACGAGCGGTCTAGCGAGGCTTTGGAATAGTTAGGGGCCTGGTGATTGTCGGGGTGCGCGATGAGGCAGAAGAAGGGGCCCGGAGAACCAGACGATGGATGGGCGCATGTTAGGAGCGTCTCTCTTTGTGGAGGGAGCCGACCGTGGACGGGCAAGTCCGCCGGGAACAGCTGGAGCCGGGAAAGTTAACGGCCCGGAGGGTCTCCCCGCACCCTCTCTCCCATCGTGACGCTCCTCCGCACTGCGCAGGCGCTGGCCCCCACCCTCCCCACCAGCGGCCGCAGCC